AAGTACGTAAGGGGTTACAGAGAGTGAGAGCAAGAGGTGTTTGAGGGTAGGATGAAATAACAGGACGGGTATCAATATCAAAGATCAAGATTGATTTGAATATTTGATGATTAAAGATATCAGGGAAGCAAGTAAGAGGAAGGGAGTTCCACTGTCAGGAAGTGCGTGATATGAAGCTTTTGGAGTAGCTGATACGACTACATTTAACCGTTTCAACCGTGGAAGAGTGGTACCGACATGCCAACCTAGTATCACGTTTAATTTCATCCAGTTTGGGTAACTCGTTAGAGCAGTTGCCATAAAATCTTTGTAGAAAAGACAGATGGAAGCCACGGCACGTCTCTTTGAAAGTGGCTGTAGACGAGATGCCAGATCAGGACCCATAATATTGCATATCAGTCTCTGGATTTTGTCGAGGACCTCGAGATGAACAGCGGGGGCACCAGACCATATATGGCAGCAGTATTCATTGCAAGGACGAATAATTGATCTGTAGATTTAAAGTATGGATTCAGAGTTCTTAAAAACAGGGACAACAGACGAGAACTTAAAACAGGCTGAAAAGCAAGAGTCAGTGAGGCAATATGTATATAGTTTGGAGAGGACTGGAGCCAATTCAGGAGTACATTTCTTCAAGACTACGGCTGGTATCCCGTCCTCACCACTTGCCTTATGCGAGTCTAATTTAAAGACGATATCCAATATCATCGATAGGGTTATGCACATCTCACACAATAGAGCCTATGTTTTACGGTGAAAATCAGGTGTGGGTACTCTGGATGAGTTGAGCGTTGAATTGGATGAGAATTTTCGAGCAAAGTATTCAGCCTTATCAGCTGAGGAAGTCAAGACCAAATTAATTGAATATAGGAGGGATTATGTATTTGCTGTTGTACAGCACGCACTTGCAGAGCCACCAATAATCTTCAGAACCGACTTGACGAGATGAAATACGTTGTTTCATTCTTTCAGCAAATTCTAACATTGTTTGTTTGAGGATACGCTTGCACTGATTACGAGCAGAGACAAAAAGACGCCTGTTGCAATCAGACATGTCGCTTCGGTTCAGACGGAGGAAGTGATTCCTATGGGCTACAGCAGCTGAGCAAGCAGCTGAGAACCAAGAAGATAAGCGCGATTTAACTTTATATTTTCTTGCATGGATAAAAGCCTCGATGCCAGCTTTTACCCAGGAGGAGACCTCAGACGCACATTTTTGAACGGGGGTGATTACAAACTACATTCAAGGGGACGTCGCGAAAGAAATCACGGAACGAGTCCCAGTCTGCGCGTTGATAAAAGAAAGATATTCTGTTAGTTGGAGGTTTTTGCTGGGTGGGGAGTTACTACGGCATGATCAGAGTTGCTAGGAGAGCAAAACTGCGTAGCACGACAAGAGTCAGGGATGGAGGTAAAGCAGAGATTGAGAAGGGAAGCATTACTGCCAGGTTTACTGAAGAAACGTGTAGGAAATTCAACGACTTGTGTAAGGGATTGACTGGATGAAAAGTTAAAGGTTTGTATGCCAGCGAGGTCGGTTTTAGAATATTTAAGTCACATGGTATAGAGGACGTTAAAGTCACCGAACATGAATATGTGTGCAAAGGGATGTAGACAGTCAGTCTTGTCTATATTATAGGAAATGCTATCGAGTACACCACAGTCTTGAGAGGAAGGGGGACGATAGAAAAAAAAAGAGACAGCTTACAGATTTGAAGAGAGGTAGATATATGAATGGTCTGGAGATTCAAGAAAGAGTTCCATAACCAGCAGAAGATGATAACGGGCAACAACTGCCATGAATATGGATTCCAAAGTCCTTTCTAAGGAGAGGAAGGTAACCGGTAATCGAGAAATCAGTGGACGGGACTGACGAGTAATGACTGGTCTCGCAGAGAGCTAGTATATGGGGAAACTTTTCAAAGATTAACGATTCCACATTGTAGGCGTTGGTACGAATGACACGGATGTTGGAAAAGGAAATAGTTTTTGATTGTTTATGGACATGTTGAGTTATGTTGGTAATGAATAGGCCTTAAGTAACATCATATCCGGCGCAGACTGCAACATAATGCGGCCTCAGGGTTGCTCCCCGGAGATGCGTGCAGAGACACCTTTCCATGCGTGACATGGCATGACAAGTATCCATACATTATACAATTGTTGATTTGAGCAGCCTCTCAAGACGCTAAGCAAGAGGTCGGGCCTCTAACTATCAGTCGGGAACAGCAACCAGAAAGCTGTCAACCCGGTATCCGCAGTATGATGAGACGTTGCCACTGACTGCACATATCACAAGAAATTCACGACAGTACAACTACGGAGACAAGAGAAAAGGAAAAGATCCCGGAACACCTTCTTAAGCAGGAAACAAGATTGTGCCTCTACTCTTGTTCAAGAGAAAGGGAAGGAGTATTGACCGGGCGTTAGGAAAGACTATTCCAATTACACAGACAGAGATATAAAAAAAAAAATAAACAAAAAGACAAGCAAACAGCATACGGGAAGTCCATGAGAAACGTGTGTGGCACACAGAGTTGAAACTGAAATATGTAGGCACATCTTGTTCAAGTCGAAAATTCCACTTCTGTGTACCAAGAATAAATATAACGTTCAATACTTGCATGCGTCAGAAAAGAAAAAAGAAGGAAATTCGAAGAAGCATTATTCCAAGTTTCCAAAAAAGGGGGGAGACTAAATTCACTTCAATTAAAAAGAAGAAAAAAAAATGGAAGAAAGAATTAGTACGATCAAAAAAAAAAAAAAAGAATTAGGTAAATAAAATTACGAGTAAAATTCAGTGATCCATACAAATAAGACAGACGACGATATAATTTTCCAACGAGTCTTCGTAGACGAAAGTTAAGCAAGGAATGAAAATCCCATTCCGTCCATTATTTATTTTCCATTTTTATAGTTGAATTTTTCACTTATATTGAATATAATCCCGTATTGTACATAACGAAGTTACAATAAAATGTGTATTATATATGAATAGTACTTTAGGAAAATTGAGATATATCAGAGTCGGGGACGTATCATTGATTCGCGAGCCTCGTATCGTAGATTCATTGGGTACCCACGAAACGATTATACCTTGCCCTATTTCTGTGACCTATTGGAATGAAAATATACACTATTCAATGGCTCTTATTTCCTTTCTTCTGTTTTTCTCGGTGAGATTATTTAAAAATCACAAATATTTTTTTCAATATATTATCTTGAACAGCTTTTAATTTTTTTTTCTTGACTTATTATTGTTCGTTGTCAGTGAATATTTGTTTGCACAATTTCCCAGAGGGTCACAGTTCCGACCTAATCAGTAGATATAGTTGTCAAGCAGACAATAACTTTCATTCAATAGAGGATATATTTCTTCTTTTAGAGGATAACTGCTGAAAAGACATTGACAGCAAATATTTTATGTCTTTGCAGGAAATCGAGAACATATACAGTGTACTGTCAGCTATTCTCAACTTGACAAACATTACTTTTGAATATAGCGAAGACCAAACAAAATTGGATTTTATAGATCCATCTCAAATTGAATGCGGTGAGTATAGTTTTCAGTGTAACACATGTTGAAAATGCTAGGCAAAGAAGATTTGAGAAATCAAAGTGTAAGTGTAAGTGTAAGTATATATATATTAAGATTTATTGCTTGCAAATCGTCAGATTTTTTACCAGAGGAACATTAAAATATTGGTGTATAGCAATGACCTGTCATCACATAGCGAATTTTGGAGTAGCTTTTTTGTTTTAGCTGTGTATTTAAAACCCAGTGATTTTAAAAGTTACTCCAAAATTCGCTTGAGGATGAAATGGAATTAATGTCTTTAATTTAATTACAAAATTAAATTCGGGGCTTTTAGCTTCCATTTTTGGAACATGGTTAGAACTGTGTAGCGAAAAAAACCATATTTTAAATCAATCAATATATATATATATATATATATATATATATATATATATATATATATATCAAAATTTCTCCGATTTAACCAGTAGAGAAGACAATATTTATGAATAAAACTGACAATAAAGAAAACTACTAATTGCTGACGCGTTTCGTCCAATGTGCACTTTATCAAAGCAAAATACGGAATGAATATAATTTAACCAGGTAACTAATAAAAACAAAAACAGAATGTTCCTAGCAACTGGAATGTAGAGAAACGCTATTTTCATATTGTAAACTGAAAATAACGTCAGTATTTGTCACGTGTGGAGAATCTTGTCATTATATCTGTGTTGATGTATTTAACCATTTTCTTTTGATTTTATGAATCTGTTGCGTACATTTGTTTTTGAGAGCAGTAATTTTGTTAAGAAAGGTGAAATGGGGAAACCTGGGTGTAGATTAATATTTGGGTAATAATCTATGGCGGCACTCTCTAGAATTTTCCTTCTGAGTGATTTATTATCTTTTTTATGAGTGTAGCATTTTTAAAATCAAAATTATGGTTGAATTTATTTCTATGTATTACTAGTGCATTAGCTAAGTTGTTTTTTGTGAGGTCTCTTTTGTGCTCATAAATGCGTTTTTTTAAACTTCTACTTGTTTCTCCAATATATTGGGATGAACAATTTAGGCAATTTATTTTATAAATGCCTGCTCCAGAAATATTATTGCTATTAATGTTTGAAGATCTTAGTATATCCATAATGGTTTTGGAAGTGTTCGTGACTATTTCAAGATTATTTAGATGCGATATGTTATTCTGGATAGTGAACGTGACAGAATTGGTCGGTAGTATTATGTATCTATTTTCATGTGATTTACTATTGCGGATTATTTTATTAGTTTTGTTTAGTTATAAAATTAGTTATAAAGTTACCTTATTTATAAAATTTAGTTATAAAGTTAACTTGTCAAATTATATTCATTTCGTATTTTTTGCTTTGATAAAGCCCACACTGGACGAAACGCGTCAGCAATTACTAGTTTTCCTATTGTCATTTTTATTCAAATATATATATATATATATATATATATATATATATATATATATATATGTATATATATATAATAATTTATAAACGGTATATTAGTGTCTATACGTACTTGAGCAGATATTTGCGTTTAAAAAACGAAATAAGAATTAATGTCTACCGTCAATGAGGTGGAAAGTCTAAATAAATAAATAAAAGTGACAGCCAGCAGGAAAGCAGTTTCCTTGATTAAAATTTAATTTTTTAATTTAATTCCTGTCCTGGGACATATTTTTTTATTACGAATTGCGAATTCAACGCCCGGATTTTTTAAGGAACTGCGATGTCTGCTCAAACACGTGTACCGACTAAATATACTTTTTATAATACAAAGAATAAATGTTGGATTAAACATATTCATTAACTGCTTATGATATATATATATATATATATATATATATATATATATATATATATTATAAATACATAGAATGTAAACGGTAATTAAGACCAATTTTCTTAAAATAGAATACCCTCTTTGAAAATTGGCATCTGTACTTATTACCTTTAGATGAACTTGAACCATGTCTCCTGTGAAAGAGTCAAACTCGCTAATTTTTTTGCTATATGAAATTGACAAATGATCATATATGCATATATATGATAGTTATCTACGTACCATAGACTTCTTAGTTGTACGTGTCGACGTAAACATCTACTGGCCATGGAAGCTGACCCTCTGTTAAACTGAGTATTAAATTGAGCTATGAGTATTTTTGTTAAAGTATCTTTTCAGAAGTACTCATAATGATAAATTCGATGTCTCAGATACACTAAATGTTTTATGATCTATGATGATTTTCTAAGTGTAGCTTAGATGAAGTACAGGCCTGAAAGTATGGCGTGCCCAGTGAGGAACAAACTCATTACTCGGTGTAATTTTTCTTGCAAGACAAACTTGCTAACCGTTACACCGCGTCGTGGTGCCGAATCTCTGACTTCCCTACAATTAACATACGAAACCCGGCTGTTTCATTTTATCAACCTTTCTTCCTAAATTATGATTAGAAAGATATAGAGGACTAAGAATTTAATATATAAATAAATAAGTAAAAACTGAGTTGAAATAAATTAAGACCAGCTTTCTAAAATGATAGTGTTCAAATAAAAATCAAACGTTATACTGCTTAATCCAAATCACTTTTAATATGGACTTTGCTGGTAATAATAATAAAAAAAAACATTTCTCTGATTACGGTGATTCATCGGCGGAACCTTTCAAGTTAGATTTCCAACATGTCTTGTATATTTGGCATTCTTTTGAATTATTTTCCATACTTTACTCATAGAAGTAAGCTTGTATACTCTTCGACATTAGAAGCAATCTTTTATTTAGAAGGATACTAAGGAACGTTCTTTCGTTAACTGTTCAGGACACAGATTTTTGTGTTTAGCCATTTTCCCTTGTCGGGACAGAATATCCGAAAGAATTTCTGATTTAGACGGTCTAAAATTTTGGTAAAAAAAAACTGACTCAATTTTGTTCTGTGTAGTCATTGTTTTATTTTTGTTTGTTTTTTCTCCTCCTCCTCCACCTCCACTGGCATTTCCTTAGAACATCACAAATTTGAGCCACATTCTTGTAATTTAATTTCAATATTTCTATAAGTTTATAGATTTTCATGATCTTCTGTGCTATATTACACCCTGCAGAAACTTCCATGTCAATAAGAAAACTCATTCTATTTTTTTATCATTGAACACTATGTCTGTATGATGAACTTTGATTGTTCTGATTGCGTGAATTTCAAGGTACTATAAATAATCATCGATCCTCTTTGTAATTGAGTCTGTATATCGTTCGTCCTAACTATTCAAGTTTCCTCCCGATATTATTGTCCTTATTATTATTATTATTATTATTATTATTATTATTATTAATTTTTATCTACACATTTTTTCAGTTGCTCATTTACTAAGCATCGACAATGTTGAATCTTTGGAAAGCAGTCTTTTGTTCACAAAGCTCAGTGTTGATGGTAAGTATAAACTACTGTTATTGCTATAATTCTATAATATAGGGATCAAATAAAATAATATTCGCTAATAAAAATTATTTATTAAGTTGTAGTACTATCGTTTTTATTCTGTAGAAATTCTTCTCGTGAATGTGTAAACTCTTGTTTGTGTTGCGCGCACGCGCGGACACCAGACATGAGCATACACGCACATATGTATATAGACATTTACAATAATAATAATAATAATAATAATAATAATAAAATTTGTCTCAAAGGCATGAACATTGTAAACACAGTAATTAATTTAAAATATAAAAAGACACGATACAAATCCTATGCTCTCTCCTCGAAATTCCGTGCAATATGCAGTCTTTTGGGTAAGCACCGGCGGTGGGGAGGAAATGAATATTATTATGGTATGTAAAGTTTCCCAGTATCAATGACAGACAATTTTGTAGGTATCAACAGTATGGACAAATAATGCAGTACTGCATGCTGACTTTTAAATATTTCACAGTGAATAGTCATCAGATCGTCGTGGATAAGGTAGAGATTCATTGGTTATTGCTTAAGGCGTGGAACTAAATGTTACCATATAATGTGGATTTTGATGTCCACATTGTTGATATAATTTAACACGTAATAAATAGTTGAATATTGTCCAATAATTTAATTATTTGTACAAAATAAATATGGTGAGAGTTTATGAACGATTAAATTTCCATATGATTTTCTTTTTTAAACCAAATATATATATATATATATATATATATATATATATATATATATATATATATATATATATATATATATATATATTTCATTGAATACTGCCGACAAGGTACTTTGATTTAGTCTTTTATACAATTTGTCAAGTGATCTAATTATTGTTTTATATAATTTATCACCTGAAAATAATCTCTCCCTTATATATATATATATATATATATATATATATATATATATATATATATATATATATATATATGGTTGTTTGTGTGTATGTATATTGTTTTTTCTACATTAATTTTCTGCCATTCATATTTTGTCGTCCCTGTTCTGTTTTGGGCAAAATTACACAATTTGTGCACCCACTTGTAGCCTTCCACAATGCTTGATATTGAATAGTTTATTTATTTTTAAGTTGGGGGTGACAAAGTTGAAAAAGTTTTCTACTGACGTCTTTCGTTAGGTCTTCATCGGGCTAAAAATTTTTTATGTTGATGTGACTACACATCCGTACGAACGAGGGATGCCGGGAATTTTTATTTATTTTTTTTTAAATCTAGCCGATTTCATTTAGATTCGTTTTCTTTTGCTTTCCGTCACATTTGTTAGTTAATATCTCACACTGTGATAATACGAATTCTGCTAGGAATGGTGAAATCGTATAAGAGGCAAGGCTCAAATTTACTGTAATGACACCAACATAAATTTAGTCCCATCAAGTCCTAAAGGATGAAACGCGTCACAAGAAAACTTTTTTTTTTCATTTTGTCATACATTTTCTCCCAATATTATTCCTGATATTAAATGCATATATCGTTATCTCATAGTCTTATAATGCAAATACTAAACGCAATTTTCTTTTCTTAATAGATATTAAGAAGCCGAAGACGTTAGCTGAAGCAAACGAAAGTCGGGATGCATTGGGAAAGGAATTGTACCATCGTCTTTTTTCTTGCATCATTGACAAAATCAATTCCAAATTGAGAGAAAGTGTTACTAACAGCCCAACGCTTCAGTAAGTGATGTCCATATAATTATTCCACTATTAATACACAGACAGATAAATATGAGCTTTACTCTTTCGTACCTCCGCATTTAAGCGCAGTTATAGATTGGCAGCTAGATTTGATCAACTTTGATCTTCAACAGTTTAAATGCAATGACAATAGTTATATTATATCTTAATTCCTGTTCATTTATAGTACTCACTCTGCAATGACTGTTGTTATCTTCTGATTTCTCCTTTCTCATCTAAATATTTTTTCTTATTCACATATTCTTTTATACACAATAACCACCAGTGTCTTAGTGACTTTATTGTCTTGCTCGGAATGAAATAATCAAAAACGAAATGTCCATATCTAATCTAATCCTCATTTTGGTTTGAAAATTCACTGTATAATGTCTGATTATATATTAATATCAATACCATTGAATTTACTGTATCGAAATGGAGGGGATTTACCGCATCTAATGGCATATAAGGCGCAATTTTTTTTACAAAAAATATCTTTTAAAAATCCCATGCGTTTTATATGCCATATTTAGATTTAAAATTCGCGATAGTCGGCCGAAATTAGATGACACATTATTTAATGACGATGATAGTAGTATTGAAAATGAGTATCATTGTTTTGATAACGAAGACGACGAATTTTATGGATTTGAAGATGAATAAAATTTTAATGGTAACTGTACTATTTTGCTCAATTTTAATAACTGCTTGATTTTCATTTTGTTTTCTTACCTTAGAAAATAATAAAGTTTTTATAGGCCCGTGTTCTTTTTTCTATTATTTTTCGTTTAATTCTAATCGTGGCTGGTTGAACCAAAATAATACCTCATAAATATAGCCTAGTGTGTAACATCTACTCATAATTTTACTAATTTTACTAATTATTATTTTTTTCTTGATTTGGCCTGATGAAATCGGGGCGCGTCTTATACACCAGTGCGTCTTATATGTCGTCAGATACGGTAAATTGAAAAATATGTTTTTATTTAAAATACACTATATTTAGTACTTCTTTATTTTCCTTTTGGACTCTTATAGACTATTCTTTTTAGCATGTCTATACACTTTTTAGAATAGTGCTATACGGTTTGAATTCAGAGTTCCTTTTGCTGGACTGGTCACCAGAAAAGAGTACATGACCCAGTCTGTCTCACGAGTTAAATCATATCCGGGGAGAAGTCATGTGGTTTTATGCCTTTCCCAAAGTAAGGTGAACACAATGAACTCGAATGTAATTCGAACTTGGTTCTCAAGCCGAGCCGCTAACGATTACTCCACTGTGCCTTCGTAGTAAAGGATTATAACAAAGTCACCTAGGGTGGTATAGTTTAGACTAGTTTATTTTATATTCGAATGCACGAAGTCGGCTAGCGCCAATCATATTCGGTTATTAGTTTGGATTAAAATATGTTAGACGATTAATAGTAAAAAGTAAAAGTTAGAATTTGAATCTTAGATCTATAGATATTTTACGATTTTTGTCCTTTTTTTTAAATTTATGCTCATATTATAAACGTGCAAAAACTAAAATAATAATCTGTTATTATTAATGAATTGAATTTGTTTTTTGTTTTTGTTTTTTTCTTTTTTCAAAGAACGAAAAAATTACCAACAATCAACTTATTGGATATCTCCGGTTTTGAGAATCTCAACGTGAATGGATTTGAGCAGTTGTTAATTAATACAGCCAATGAGGTTCTTCACCAAATATTTTTAAAACACGTCATGAAAAGTGAACAGGAAGAGTACGAGAAAGAAGGAGTCGAATGGAAAGAAATTAGCTTCACTGACAATACAGATGTTATAGACTTAATAACAAAAGTAAGTTTTATTTTTCTACTATTCTCTGTTTCTTTAATGTACTATTTCTAAAGTTAAAGGAAATCTTGTAACTACTAAGCAAAAACTGCAAAAGACGCCTGAATCTTAATACGATACGAAGCTCTCTCTCTCTCTCTCCCTCTCTTTCTCTCTCTCTCTCTTTCTCTCTCAGTAATTTTTACTAAATTCAATACACTATATAACAGTGAACATTGTCCCGTTTCCTTGTTATGTGCAATAATAATAAATGCTAATCATTTTGCATCCGATGCTTCAACCTGACGCTAAATCTGTTATTCATTTTTGTTATTCAACTTTGTCAAAAATTAGGATCAATCGATACACGAGGCATTTATTTACCAGAAATTAGAAATACATGTGCATGCTCTCTGTGTATGTGAGCGTATACGTGACATCACACGAGTGTGTGTGTGTGTGTGTGTGTGTGTGTCTTCATCTATTAAGAGATTTAACAACTCAAACATTTATAGTATTTATCATAGAATCTCGTTCTGGTTTTCTGAAAAGTGTTTTAATAGTAAAAATAAATGAACACGGCACAATAGAAGAAACAGGAATTTTGGGCACTAAGGTTATATAAAATGAACAAATCAACAAGGTCGGAAGAGTCAGCCGAGTCTAACAATCCCATTACAATATCAAATTGGTTAACTCCATTATTTTTATCCATTGTTCTTGTTATGGATAAAGACATCTTTTTTTAGAGTTCATAATAACGTTCAGTTCCTCATTTGCAAGATCGGAGTACTTGGTGGTGAATTCCGAACCCAATGTAAAGAGATCCCTGGAAATGAATGCGTAATAATCCACAATATCAAAATGAACAATTAGTTTTATCATTTATATTATTAAATCAATTGATGACATCAGTGGTATTAATTCATTGTATCAGTCCCAGGCTCAAATACACACACACACACACACACACACACACACACACACACACACATATATATATATATATATATATATATATATATATATATATATATATATATATATATATATAAGAAAAAGACAACACCTAATAATATTAACAACGAATTCCTCAACAATATGCTGTTTTCGGAAAATAAAACATCTCTATAACACGAACAACATAAACACAAGGCAGACAACGAATTAAATTGAAAAAGATAAAATCGTCCTTAATAATGGTTAAACGTATAGCCGAGAAGCGCTCGGAATTATAGGACATTTGGACAGTTTCTACACACTCTGTATCCAAAAAAGAAAACACTTGTTCGAACACAAGAAAAATTAAAAGCTTAATTATAGTACCTTGTTTGTCATTTTTATTGAAACATATATTTATATATATATATATATATATATATATATATATATATATGCATGTGTGTGTGTTTGATTGCTTGATGATTACACATTACAACTCATTCATTTGTTGCCATAGAAATGCTTATTCAAATAAATTAGCTTAATCTGGCACAAGGTGAGAATACTCAGAGATTTCGTGATGAATGTGCACACGATTAGTTTGAAAACTGGCTTATTGTCTATAACACTACAGTGATAACCCCTACTGTAAAGATGACGATAAAGAACAAACATTATGCACCATTTTTCTCTAATGAATTAAATTATTTACTATAAAATCGCATTAGAGAATTTTAAATAATGTTTAATATCGGAAAATTTGAATTCGGCTAAACACACAATAAACTGTTCCTATAGATTTTTCATACATGCATATTTTTCTTTTAATTATTTGTATATTTAACGCTTTATTTTCCAGTGCCATAAAGAATCAACAACCAGCATATTCCATATCCTGGAGGATGAAGCATCAATTTCTCCAGGCACCGACTTGACATTAGTGCGCAAGTTAAACAAAAATTTCAGCGAGAATCAATATTACCGCGCTAAAACTGAAACAGACTTACTATTTGGCATTGTTCACTATGCAGATACGGTATGGAATTTTTCTCCCTATATCGTTTTATCGAATGCTGCCTCATTTTAAAAAAAAAAGAATTCGGCAGTTATTAACTGCATATTATATGTCTGACACAAGAGTACATGAACTGAGTACCCAGTGATGAAACCCATTACGCTAACAAACTGATTTATGAAAAGAACTTACATAACATCACATCAAAATATGTCAAATTTCTTTAATGTGCCATGTCCCTTCAACACATCATCGGTCATATCTCTCTACAACTTCCTATACTTTGTAACTCTAAGCATTGTTTGACACATATGATCCCTTGTTCTGCCATGCATTTACATATCATCTTTAATTAGGTGAATCCTTGCTTCTCTCTTGTCTTAATTATGTCCTGTGACTGTGAAATTCTCCAATCCTTCTACTCATTTTTTGTATCCTAGTACTTTTAGCTGATTTCTAATTCTAAACAAAAATGTCTTTTTCCTTAAAACTTTCTTTTTCTCACATGTGTAAGGGAATTTTAGAAATCATTTTAAAATAAGAAAATATTACTTGTATAGTAAACTGCAAATTTTGTGAGAATTATATTTACGATTAGTTGTGTGTGCTTTTTAAATGGGGCATTTAAAAAGCACACACAACTAATCGTAAATATAATTCTCACAAAATTTGCAGTTTACTGTACAAGTAATATTTTCTTCTTTCTGTTTTTGTAAAAGAAAGTTTTTTTTTTTTTTTTAAATGAAGAGAAAAAGAAAACAAAATAGATCCTTATTATATTATCATACAAGCATGGACATATTTCCATTGAATTTTACCATACCGTGAAAATAGGTGTCGACATCAAGCAATGTATTTTATAAGCTGTTTTCTAGACTGTATTTTTCCTGATACGTTAAGAGAAAAAATTTAAAGTATGCCGATTTGTTCGCAAACAACGCTTTCTCGAAACGGGAGTGGGGGAATTTCTTTTCTAGGTGGGTTTCCTGTGAGAAATTGATGTTTTCAAGCAGAAGGACTAGAAAAATAATACAGCTTGCATTGTAATTTCTTTTTCTTATTATGTTTTTTCTCTATTTTTTTCTTCTTCTAGTACACTGAAATATTTTTTTTATGGTTATAGCAACAACTAAAATAGATAGTACATGTACCTCAAAGGGAAAATAAGGACATATTCAAAATGCTGAGTTTTCACACAGGAAGGAAAATCCCATCCATATTGGAAATAAGTAATAACAACTACTGAACTTAAAACCGATATTCCTAGAAGAAAAAAAACACTATATTACTTATAAAGTAACGACTTAAATTATCATTAAATTTTTTTATGTATTGTAAATGAAATGAAATGTATTGTAAATAAAAGGAAACTACACTATCAAACGCTTACAAGGTCAGTTAATAGAGAAAGCTTTATAAATATATTTGTTACTTATATCATTGCGTTTAATAACTACCAAGTGTTATCATCATTAGTTTTTTTTTTTTTGTTTGTTTTTTTTAAACGTTTCACCCCAAGCAAGGCGGAAAGCCACTAGGACACAAGGGGTTACAGAAAATTTGGAGCAAGATCAGATAGGATTGATAGAGGAAAGGATGAGGAGAAGGATAGTGGATAGATCAAAGCAACTGGAGATGTCGATTAACATTACATTTGAATAGTTGGAGATTATAGCTCTCAGGGAAACTGGAATAGGGAAGGGAGTTCCACAGGCGAGAGGTGCAAGACATGAAGCTATTGGAGTAGAAGAGACGGCTACATTTAGTTTCGACAGTGAAAGGGGGAGAGCGGGATGCCAGCCTCGTAGGGCGCTTGAACTCACGGAGTCTGGGAACCAGCGAATGCAGTTCCTCGGAGCAATTGCCATGAAAGTATTTGTAAAAAAAAGTCAGAGAGAGGCGACGGCGCGTCTGTGGGAGAGCGACTGTAGACGAGATGCCAGAACAGGGCCAATTATATTGCATATCCGCCTCTGGAGCTTATCAAGAAGCCCGTTGTAGAATACAATTTATTATAGTATACTTAGCGAGTATACAGATAGTCATAAACATGTTATCATATTTAATGGATTGATGTGAGTTTAAAGTTTTTCTTATCGTGTAATTTTACTTCATTAGTTTCATTCTTTCCTTTAGGTAATGTACAGTGCTGTCGGCTTCAGAGAAAAGACAAAAGATACACTGTCCAGATGTTTGAAAAATGTCATCCAGGAAAGTAAAAACCCATTATTGATACGCTATTCAAGGTAAAACTCCGAAACGGTTTTATGTTGTATTATAGCAACATTTAATTTAGTATAATCCTCAAAAACAGCATTGTCATTTTTGTAGTATTTATATTTTAATCTCTTTATGTATTTAAATATTTTGAAACATGTTTTTTATGTATAGTTTATAGAGATCTAAATTATTTTCTGAATAAGTTATCTAAATCTAAATTATTCTATCCCAGTCATAGTCAACTGATGATCAGTTTTCAAGCTGAATCTAACGGAAATACGTACAAAGAATTGTAGCAAAATTAATTTACAATTTATTAACGTTTATGA